GTTACTCTATAACAGGATAGAAGGTAAACGTTTATCATCGTGAAACTCAGTGAAAAATGTGCTTTCTAAACCTTTCTCAGGTTATACCGTAGCTCCAATGCTTAAAATATGATCTTCCATTTCCAGACTTGCCCGCATTTTATAATAAAGCATAATGGCTTTTGGAAAATGGCCCATACACGATTGTAAAAAAAGAGTCCCAACATCAGGTGTTGCTGTTTTCCAACAGAACTTTATTATTTATGTTCTAATTTTCATGGACATGACTTCCCAGGAAACAGGCCTGATGGGTCGGCCAGTCTTTGAGAAAGCGCACCTCCTATAGGGCCTTTAGAGGACAGGGATTACTCTAGTTTCCAGGGAATCCCAGTTGGTGGTATAAGCTTCTCAAATACAATCACTAACTTGATGGGTCTTCTATTCAACTTCAGAGAGTGCAAACTAGGTAAGTAAACGAGACGTTACTGATGGACTAGCCTGTTTGGAAACCAACACCCCCACTACACACAAGCACACACATCCTTGGCTTCAGTATATGACTGTAATACTTATGAAAAGACACTTCATGCGTTCACATTCTCCTAAGGGACTTGGGACATAAAATGAGGAATTCACAAGATCTGTTCCCAATATTGCTCTGAGTATCACTTGGAGAGCTGGTCAGATTATCTCTGGATGGGACCATCACACCTGAGAGAAGAAGTATCATTACAAGTCTTACCTCATCTTCTGCAGCACCACTAACCTGCTGGTTTCGTTAGCCACCACACTTCCACTACTTATGACCTATTCCATCTTCTTTGCCATGCTCTCTGATGGCAACCTGAGTAGAAAGTCGTAACACTGTTAAAACATTTGGCAGAAACAAGCATCAGTAACAATCTCCTCAAAAGCAAATACTATTTTACATTAAAATCGCAATGAAAAAAAAAAAAAAGCATCATGCTCAATACTGTATCAGAAACTGTCTTTATATCCTGTCCATTTATTCATCTGACCTTGGGGGGCACAGAGGAGGAACCCAGATGAGAGGTCTAGTCACACAAGACAAGGAAGAAATGAACATGAAAGCCATCAATTGAGTTCTATTTTGCTTATCGGTCCCCCAAAGATGTGCACTCACTTCTCTCGCCTACCTCCAGGGTTTTCTTGGACTCCTTGAAAGGCACAATCCTGATGAGTTCTCTGTTTCTGACCAGCACGGTGGCTCTACCGCAGAGCTTCTCCCCCCTGGTCTGAGCTACTGTAACAGAAACAGTGTTTGTCTTGCCATTTGATCGGGTTGCCATGAGTCAGAACTGACTCAATGGCAGTGTTTTTTTCTGTCCATTTTTATGCTAAGCTGATTTAAATCCTTAAACCCAAAACAGTACCTGCAATGGAGTGAATCTCTTAATATGGCTCTTCTAGCCAGTCTTTGTTATTCCCAACAAAATTGATCTGGGGTAGGGAGGTAGAGGAAATTACTGAGAGAATGGCACGATTCACCTGTAAATGACTGTTAACTGAGTTCATTGCAATTGCCATATTGTTGGGTATAAAATGAGTCATTCCAGGTGCAGGGAAGGAGGGGAGTCTCACTACCAGCAAGAGAGAAGAGCCTAGAATGGTGCATTCTTTGGACCCCCCTGCACATGGAATCTCCTTTAGCAAGAAGACACTTGTGACACCCAAGGAGCAACAGGGAAGAGGCAGAGGAGCACCGACAGAACCAGGAGCCAGAGCGTGAGGCAGAGCTGTGGACATACAAGTAGAGCTGAGTACCTTGGGGGAAGACTTGCACAGGGGGGCCTCCAAGAACCTAACTGAGGGAGCTAGGATTGCTAACCACAGAACTAGAGCTAGCGCTAGAGCTGAGCACCTTAGAGCTGATGCTTCTGGTGGAGTGGCCTTTGGGCACTGATTGCCAGCCCTAAACGAACTTTGTAACATTAACTGAGCAGGACAGAGGGCAAGAGGCGAGGGCCAGAGGGAGGCATCTGCGAAACAACAAAGAGGCTGTACTCACTGAACAACTGTACCCTAAGCATTTCTCACCTAAACTGTACCCTGTTAACTCTTCCAACAAACCCCACAATCATGAGTGTTGTCTGAGTCCTGTGGGGCCACTGCAATGACTTCTCAAACCCAGATGAGAATTCAACAGTCCTGTGTGAGAGGAGCCCTAGGTGTGAGAAAGGTAAGGGCGGAGGCCTATCTGACAGTGATTCTCCTCCTTCCCCTGTGTGTAGTGGGAAGAGATGAGATGCCTCCCCCCTACCATTCTTTGAACAATACCAATCCCCGATACAAATACTTCTGCCCAGAGCCCATAGGTTTTGCCCTTGGAACGAGATCCCTAAGGCTTGCTGGCACAGACTGCCGCGAAAATGTTTGGCCTGATAACAGTATTAGCCTAAGTATTATAGGATAGTGTATAGCTTAGCAAAAAAAAAAAAAAAAAAAAAATTACAAGGGAGCTTCAAAAAGCTCACAGAAAATTGTCATTGTTTTTCAATTCCATCATCCCATAAATTCTCTGAAGCCCCTACTATAACTTATGCTAGGAGATTTTTTTTTCTCCTTACAAACTAATAGGTGGGACTTGGGAAAAACACTGTTGGTAAAACAGGTGAATATTTTTTCCTAATAAAGAAAAAGACAGTCAGATCAGCTATCAGGCATCAAAAAACAATCATATCACTGTGTGCTCACCTCCATGATACGATCTCTTGAGGACAAAATGTGTGCATAAGCAAATGTGATGACGAAAGCTGTTGGTGCCCGACTATCAAAAGATAAAGCATCTGGGGTCTTAAAGGCTTGAAGGTAAACAAGCGGCCATCTAGCTCAGAAACAACAAAGACCACATAGAAGAAGCACACTAGCCTATGCAATCACGAGGTGTCAAAGGGATCAGGTATCAGGCATAATCAGAACAAAAAATCTTACCATAGTGAGTGAGGGGGAGTACGGAGTGGAGATCTAAAGCCCATCTGTAGGCAACTGGACATCCCCTTACAGAAGGGTCTCGGGGAGGAGACGAGCCAGTTAGGGTGCAGTGTAGCAACGATAAAACATACAACTTTGCTCTAATTCCTAAATGCTTCCTCTCCCCCGCCCCCCCAACACCCTCCCCACTATCATGATCCCAATTCTACCTTACAGATCTGGCTAGACCTGAGGATGTACACTGGTACAGAAAGGAACTAGAAACACAGGGAATCCAGGGTGGATAATCCCTTCAGGACCAGTGGTGAGAGTGGCGATACTGGGAGGGTGGAGGAAGGGTGTAGTAGAAAGGGGGAACCAATTACAGGGATCTACATATAACCTTCTCCCTAGGGGACGGACAACAGAAAAGTGGGTGAAGGGAGATGTCGGATAGGACAAGACATGACAAAATAATAATTTATAAATTATCAAGGGTTCATGAGGGAGGGGGCAGTAGGGAGGGAGGGAAAAAATGAGGACCTGATGCCAGGGGCTTAGGTGGAGAGCAAATGTTTTGCGAATGATGAGGGCAATGAATGTACAAATGTGCTTTACACAATTGATGTATGTATGGGTTGTGATAAGAGTTGTATGAGCCCCTAATAAAATGATGAAAAAATAAAATAAAAAACAAAATCAGAAAAGAAAGAAAAAGACAGTGGGGGCCAGGGGGAAAAGGTAGCTTCAGAACCACCTAAGAGATTAAAGAAACAACCAAACCCCAGTTATTTCCTTGTTAATAAAATGTACACTGCCTGTTTGGTTCCAGCACTTCTAAATCACCTCAGAAGTCAAGTGCTCAGGTTGGGATGATGTGACTAATGTGTTCCTTCAGGTGCCGGTTTCTAGGAACATCACCTTTCATAATGGCTAATACTACATTCTAACCTCTACAGGCGGGTCTGTCTAGGGATGTGTTTAACACAAAGCCTTTCTGGGAAGTGGCAGGTCCTTTGCCGGGATGACAGTTCTTTCTGGACCACTCATAGCAGATAACAGCTTAGTCACATTCAAAACAAATTTTAATAGCAACGAAAGAAAATGCTGACCCATAATTACGACAACAGATAATGACAACTCAGTTTAAACAGAACTGATGCTCTCTCAGCCATTCCTGTACCTACATTCTGACTTTATCACCAAAACAGAAAATCTGCGTGCTTTGCGCTAAGCAGATTCTTATAATTGTTTGGGAATTACAGAGCAGGGGTTTTATGCTTGTCTACTTGTCTGGGGAGCCTTATCAAATTCTTGAAGGGCCTTGAGGCTTAAAACACAAGTAAGAACCACAGCATTTTTTAACTACCTGAACAGGACTTACCTAACAGAAGTCACTTGTATGGTACGAGTTCTGACGTGCTGCACAGCAACCCAACACCGCTTATTTTCAAAGGACGGCGGTCCCTCTGGTCTGGACCAAGGGTAGAAGAACATTCACTGGGCCGAATGTCACAGTCTTTGTGGAGAGGGTATCTGGAGCCACTGGTACATAGTCAGTGTAAACACAGATTAATAAAATTTGGGAGAGTTATGGTTAATCGTGATTTTCAAACTGAAGCAGTTTTTACATTCAAATGTTACCTAAATGAATAGTTTGTACTTGCTTAACATTTAAATAAAAACAATAGAAAGATAAACTATATCAAAATATTTATGGGGAACAGACTTAAAATTTAGATTCAATGTTTGAATATAAGAATTGCTACAGTATTTCCAACCATCCACAAACAGAAACTCGTTCAAAAACTCACTGACTGCTGCTTCCTTTAGTCTTAAAGTGATAGAGAAGGGAGCTCATCCTACCCATTATGATTTTTTTAGAAAATACACCTTATGGTGATGTTAGGTTTGCACCTAGATAACCTTCAGACTTAGGAAAGGGAAGCATCAAAAGAAAAGCATAGTGGAAAACATTTGGCGGGTCCGCAAAACACTAAAAATGGAACTGTATAACCCGACAATTCCACTCCTAGATCTGTACCCAAAAGACATGAATGCAGAGACTCACGGTGCTCCCTGTAGCTCTATTCCTAATAGCTAGAAGGTAGAAACAACTGAATGCCCATCAATAGATAAATGGATAAACTAAATGTGGTACGTATTCGTGGAATACTACACCAGCCAGCAAGAGAAATGAAGTCTTGATACATGCTGCTGCATGGATGGAGTGTGATGATAGGCTTTGTGAAATAAGCCTATCACAAAAGGATGTCTGTTGTATGACCACATTTATGCAAAAAGAAAAGGCAAATGTTAAAAACAGAGAAGCAGTAGTATATAAACTTAGGATGACAAACATTATTGCTGGAAGGAGAAAAATATGTACCACCATCTGAGGTTCAATTCAGCCCTTAATTTGTATTTGTGAACATATTCCTTCTAATGTTGCTAATTTTTAAGTTACACTGCATTGCTGGAAGGCAGGCTGGGATTTGATGGCGAAGCCCAGATCTGTCACACAGCCAGCAGGCAGGAGACTGCACACGAGCAGTGCCTAGCAGAGCAGTAGTTACAGGGCGAGTGCCCATGCTAATGAGACACAGAAAAGAGCTCAGGTACAGTTTGCTGATGTGTTTCTATAATCTTAATTCCTCTTCACCAACTGTTTCAATTACACCTTGGAACTTTTCAAGTTTATCAGGCTACAAGGGCAGGCAAATAACAAAGAACGGGGACAAAAGATCTTATTCCAATAAGAAAGGTAAGTAACAATGGGAAAACGCTGACTTTCTGCTTAGAATGTTTAAAGAATTCAACATGAGAAGCCAAGGAAGTTTAATGAGGGCTGTTCCCTGTGGAAGGGGGACGTGGTATTTGAGTTTTTATTAAAGTAAGAGAAATAATTTGGAAAAGCAGAGTGAAAATGGCTACACGTGTAGAAATTATTCAACAACATAAAAACAAAATTACTAAAACTGAAAAATTACAAGCATTTAATTACCCAAAATGCAGAATAACCCAGCACCATATGTGAAACTAAGGAGAGCTCATTGTAAATATTCTTATTCAATAATACTGAGAATATTACTTTCCAAACCATACTGTCAATGAATGACTTGATTCTGACTCACAGCAACCCTAGTACCTTAAAAAAAAAAGATAAAAAAATAATAAACCCACCTCCACCAAATTCACTGCCACAGTGGATTCTGAGTCATAGTAACCCCTCTTGGGTTTTCCTAGGCTGTAAATCTTTATGGGAGCAGACAGCCTCATTTTTCTCCCGAGGAGTGGCTGATAGGTTGGAACCACCAACTTTCTGGTTACCAGCGTCATGCTTATCCAGTAGCAACAACAGAGCGCTCACCTAACTCCCAAAACCACATTCATTGCCATCACGTTGATTCTGACTCAAACTGGCCCAGGTGGGTTTCTGAGGCTGTAAATCTGTACCCAGGCAGAAGGCCGCATCTTTTACTTGCACAAGGGCCCGTGGGTTTGACTCGTGGGCCTTTTGTTAGCAGCCCAACATGTAACCCACAAAGCTACCAGGATTCCTTTTTCTATTACCTCCATAAACAAAAAAACCAAACTCACTGCCATCGAGCCAACACTGACTGGTAGCAACCCCACAGGGCAGGGTAGAGACGCCGAGTCTCTGAGACGGTAATTGTTTACAGGAGTAGAAAGTCCCGTCTTTCTCGCAAGGAGCCACTGGTGGTTTCAAACTGCAGTGGGGCTTGTAGTTTGCAGCCCAACTGGTCACCACTGCACCACTAGAGCGCCTTCGATGACCTACACCGCCGTCAGCTTTACAAGTCCTACACAAAAGTCAAAGGTGATAAAGCAGCTTCCCTCTGTGACGTGGCAAAGAGGACGCCACAAAGGGCACTGGCTATGTCCCCACTTCGGACTCCAACAGCAACCACCAAAGCAGCACCAGAAATCCGATTTAAAGACAAAGTCTGTTCTCCCAGCAGGTATGGGCAATCGTTACATTGTACTGTCTTTAGTTTTAATGACATTGAAAGGTTCACTGGTGACCGAAATATTAAATTTTCAACCAACTTTACACCTTCAGAACTATTTTGCTATGACCAAATTGCAAAAGTTAAAATTTCTATAAATGATTTAAGGCATTTTAAATTAGGAAACTGGTAATGTCAAATTTTTCACATTCCTCAGCCAAAATGAATTAAAAATGGTTAAGATTAGTTATATCAACAATATTTTCCTTTTTCCTGTATGGAAATGAGAAGGGAAAAAAGTTCTACACGGTTTACTTTAACAAATTAAGGAAAGAACAGAACACAGGAAGCCCATAGTAACTATATTAACTATTTTTAACTATAATATTTTTTACAAGAATGTAAACGAGTCTATGGGCAAGGAGAGTATTTACGTATCTTCTTCAGCTATGAATAGGATAAGAAAAATGGCATCAACTTAATCTTTTATCAGATGGTGTTGAAACTGACTTATGGGGATTAAAAGGATAAAAGTTAAAAATTATCCACCTACACATACCTTTTAAAAAGGTATTACTGCTGCCCAATCTCCTCCCTAGTCCCTCCTATGGCTTTCCAATGCTCACCGGCAAATGCAACGTTAGTATATAACTGACCTGTGTTGACTAGGCCACTTTTAGAGTTCTCAAGTTTCTTGTATGACAAATGTCCGGCTCATCCAAATCCAAATGTTGATTTTGGCTGGTGGATGGCACCCAGGAATACAGATAGCATCAAGACAGACGATACCGAGTCTTGAAAGGTTGCAGAAAGATAAAATACTGTATTTTTAAAAGCCTTACTATGGTTTGAACCACCAATCTTGGTTAGCAGTTGTATGTTTCACTGTCTTGTCACCAGGGCCTCCTATTTCAAGCTGACCCCGTTTAAAAGCAAAGGTGCTGGGAGAAATGGACATTTTAGGTAGTGTTTTGATTACACGTTGGACTGCTAGTCCCAGGGTTAACAGTTCTAAACTACCAGCCACGCCATGGGGGAATGACGAGCCTCAGGAAGCAACGCGTCTGCGTGGACTCGACAGCAGTGGTTCGCTTTGGGTTTCGGACAAAATAGCAAATGTATTATCATATTCTCACCACTCACGCCAGAAAATAACTGCTTACAGGAACTCCTAATACTGAATCCAAGGCATAATATGTGAGCTCAAACAACACCAAGGGCCTATATTCGCTGCCTATAAAACTGAATGTGGCTCCCTTCTCTGATCTATAACCCCAATTCCCAACTGATGAACGTGTACATTATAAATACATGTACATATATGTACAAAACAATCCATAGTCATATGTTTAAATCACAGTCTTGCCTAAAAACACTTTTAACCACCATAAATATGTGGTTAGAGCTCAGGGACCAGTAACCAAGAACTGTACTAACAAAATACTAACTAGATGTTATGTGGGTACACAGAAGACCAAAGCTATTTTTTTTCGTATGTTCTCCCACGGTTCACTGGGTCATGGCAAAGCACTCACAGGCCACACTGCCACACACACAGCCAGGTCGGGATGCTCACATTAACACTCTAGCACAGGCCCCTAAACTCATTTGGTCGACTGTCCCTTGGTTCAGAGAAAAAAATTATTCAGCACTTCTTTGGCAATTAAAACTTTTGTACTAATGTGCTTTACACAATTGATGTATGTATGTATTGTGATAAGAGTTGTATGAGCTCCTAATAAAACGATAAATAAATAAATAAATAAATAAATAAAAATTTTAAAAAGCCAACAACTTTTGTACTAGTATAGCTGAAACTCCTGGGTAAAGTGTAGCTTTCTATCTGCCTTTGCAGCCCCCACTGGATAATTCCAGTGCCGCCCTCCCACTCTTACCCCCACTGGGGATATACCCACTTTGGGAAACACTGGTCCAGAACTTCAAAAACGGTGTTATCAGAATACACTCTTCTACTTTATTAATGGAAGTTCAATTAGGCCTTTTGTAACCATTTTCTTACTTTTAAACGAAGACAACTCGGTGCTATGGGACAATGCAAATAACCTTAAAATACTTTGAAGCTTAACTAAATCAAGCAGGTATGTAACAAAAAAACATCTTTCCTTCCAGCAAACTCAAAGAAATCTGTCTCTAATTCTAAACTATAAATTTCCCAAAGTCAAGAATAAGTTAGGTAACCAGTTCCCTACATAAGTCTACCTTTCATTCGCAAATTATATGCCGACCTCAAAAATATCATGGGGTGAAACTTTTATTTTGCACTAATTCTCATCTGTTTTTTATGGGAAAAGAGAATGGTTACAAATGGAAATTCATTCATCTAAACTTGCCTCTGTCCCCATTAACCACGTAAGTCATCTCCTCATAAAATTATAGGCTATTCCCTATCTCTAGTCCAGCCTCATTAATATATATATATATATTGCCATTCAGTCAATTCTGACTCATACCTACAGGATAAGGTAGAATTGCCCCCTGTGAGTTTCCGAGATTTTAACTCTTTACTCGAGTAGAAAGCCTGTTTTTTCTCCCTTAGAACGGCTTGTGTTTTTG